AATGAGGGATAAAAACTATCTCTAATCATATCCTCAAATTCATCATCTTCTACTAATTTAAGTAGAAGGTTTTTAAGAACGATAAATATGATGACGGATTCCTGGCTTTAATTGCATCGTAGTTCCAAGTTCTGATGCTACCGGAGGTTGATGATTGGGCGAGCATATAGATTGACGGATGTCTCCTTGAGACGTTGCTGCTTGAGCGCTGTTGTGTTTTTCCAAATGGCGCTTGAGGTGGTTGGTGCCGCTCTTATGATGAGCTTGTAAAATATGGTCACGCAATGCGCATTTAGCTTTTTTCTAGGTGAAAAGTTTACCGTGTTGATCCTTGGTGACTTCTATCTCCTCGAAAAAAATTCCACACGTCGGATCTCGACCTTTTAGGAGGCCTAGGTGCGGTATCATCGGCACCAGATTCGAGATCAACATCGGTAGGAGTAGAATGAATAGCTGTAGCTACTGTAGGTGTAGCAGGAGTAGGACTCATTTCCGTATCAGGCTTCATAATCAGATGAGGAAGCAATTTGATTAATGAGGAAGCTATTTGATCGGAGAATTAGAGAGTATAAGAGAGCATTAGAGAGAAGTGGATGTGTTTTGGATGAGAAAAACAAATAAAAATCTCCTCTATTTATAAAGGCAGCCCCCTAGCCAAATGGCCAAAAAAACCCTCAAAATTTAGCCGTTTTGACCGTTTTTGGGGGTATTTTGGTCAAAAGGCCAAAATGACCATTATGGTAGACCAGACCGGGCCAGGCGGAGACTGAGCCCCCTGGTCAACGGTCACTAAGGCCAGGGCCGGGATCGACGATCCACTTTAGTGACCGTATGACCCGGTCGAGCGTTCCTGATGCCTCCAACAGGCTCAGCCGACCCCCCATCCGGCGTTCTGGGCACGCGGGGTCGGGCGCGGTTGATGCGTATTGGTGAACTAGCCTGGGCCGGGCCTAGCCTCAACTCGGGTTTCTAGGCCTTGTCCGGACCCGGGCCGTAGACAAAGATGGACAGACCTACCAAGAACGTTCAAGAAGGAGGATGTTCTGGTTCCTATTTGTAAGGAGCTCGATGTAATTTTCCCTTTAAACAATGTATCTAAAGCTGAATTCATAGGGGAGGAAAAAACAGAATTTGTTGATACAACATTTGCTACATTTAATTTCGAACCAAACGAGCAGCTTTTAAAGTCTGTAACAAACTGTCAACTAAATTAAATACGTTTGAACTGTTTTTTGAAGCTACAACAATTAATGCTTTAAAAAATCTAAAAAGAGCACATAATTAGTGTATGTTATTAGCTCATTGACGCTGGTGGTTTCGACAATTATATGACTGGCTTAATGAGATATCATCAAACGTGGAGATGCTAGCCCAAAAATTTGACATAATTAATATTGGGGTAGGTAGAATCTTATTATGGAGAAATATTCAAAATCAGAATATTTATTGATAATATTATCTGTTGGATTTAATCTAATAAATCTATTTGTGAGCACATATGATTAATCAATGTGTATTGCTATCTTTCAGGATAACCCACTAAAGTGATCAATTAAGTTGGGTTAATGGGTATTTAAATATAATCATGGGGTTATATGTGCAGATACCAGGTTGTAATTGTGATTTATTGAGGGGCTAAATTACAAAAGTACAACATCTATAAATAAGGGGTTATGGTCCCTAATCTAGGGTTACTACATTCTCTAATTCTCTTCACCCCCATCTAAGAGAGAAATTCGGCTAAAGAGAAAACCCTAAGGTTAGAAGATCCAAAACCCAAAATCAAGATCAAGCAATGGATTCAGGTATAAGCTTCCGCTCTTTTAGTTTTTTGTTAATCTCTTTGAATTAATCATGGCTATATGGTTTTAGATCTCAAGTTTTATGATGTAGATCTATCAAGTGGTATCAGAGCCACCTTGATTAATTCTTAGGGATTTAAGTTTTATTGGGTTTTTGATCTTAAATCTCTGGTTAAAGATTCAATTTTTGGGTTCGGATGAACAGTAATGTTCGGTGAACAGTAACGAAATTTTTTTTTTCGGGTGGAAAGTAAAGTTTTTTTGGGTGAACAGTAACTTTTTGGAATTTTTTGGATTTTTCTTTGATTTTTTCTTCAATTTTTTCCAATTCTGGATCTGTTTTGAAAATAAAAATCAAAGATTTTTTTGGGTTCGGCGGCGGTTTCAATTTGAAACCCTAAGGGTTCATGGCGAAAATTGAGGAGGTGGTTACCTCAAACGAACCTCGCGTTCGTTCAATTTTAACCGAGCTTCGCGCTCAACGAACCTCGCGTTCGTTCTAAGGTGAACCTCGCGTTCAACTCAGGTGAGCGTCAAGCTCAATTTTAACGAACCTCGCGTTCGTTCTAAGGTGAACCTCGCGTTCAACTCAGGTGAGCGTCAAGCTCAATTTTAACGAACCTCGCGTTCGTTCTAAGGTGAACCTCGCGTTCAACTCAGGTGAGCGTCAAGCTCAATTTTAACGAACCTCGCGTTCGTTCTAAGGTGAACCTCGCGTTCAACTCAGGTGAGCGTCAAGCTCAATTTTAACGAACCTCGCGTTCGTTCTAAGGTGAACCTCGCCTTTGCGTTCGTTCTCAGGTCGAACTTTGCGTTCGCACTCAGGTTGAACTCTGCGTTCATTTTTTAAACGAACCTTGCGTTCGTTCTCAGGACGAACTTTGCGTTCGTACTCAGGTTGAACTCTGCGTTCATTTTTAAATGAACCTTGCGTTCGTTCTCAGGTCGAACATTGCGTTCGTACTCAGGTTGAACTCTGTGTTCATTTTTTAACGAACTTTGCGTTCGTTCTCAGGTCGAACATTGCGTTCGTGCTCAGGTTGAACTTTGTGTTCATTTTTAACGAACTTTGCGTTCGTTCTCAGGTCGAACATTGCGTTCGTGCTCAGGTTGAACTTTGCGTTCATTTTTCAAACGAACCTTGCGTTCGTACTTAAGTGAGTCTCGTACTCAATACAGTCGAACCTTGCGTTCGAAGTTAAGGGAACTTCGTGTTCATTATGGTTAAGCCTCGGCTTTTCATGGGTCCACTTTGGTATACTTAATTTATTCAATTAAGTTATGGGCCCTAATTAAGCTGTGAGACCCCAATTAAGTTTTTAGAAATTCAGTTGATTTAATTTTTTTTTTAAATCTAATTTGGTTCTTAATCAATTATTTAATTCAAATATTATGACTCTAAGGTATTAAGGTTGTCTCTCACTCCAATTGATTAATTGAAACAAGAAGTTGCCAAAGTAACCTCTCTTGTGCAGGTTGTTCATAAGGAATGTGAGATGTTTGTGTGTATGCTTTCGTATAAATATTTAATCGGCCCAAAGGAAGGTTAATATTTATTTAGACTGTATACACATCTGCGATGATAAGCATGTGACAATTATAAGGTTTACATGTGAATAATGAATCGATCCAAAGATAGTTTCATTATTTGACATGAGTTATTGTCAATGTTTGATCATTGCAACAAGGTATCACTTACAAGTTAATATTACTGTCCAAAGACTTGATATTAATGTTGTGCCGGTATCTTGGATGGGGATTGTCATTATTTGAATTTTATTGATTATGGTTATTGATGTGAGCATTTGTTGTTTTATTTCAGCTAATGCATCTGCTGCAACAATTTCTGCTAACATCAACTCAATTCCCATGCTAAATGGGACAAACTTCAAGGTTTGGAAAGAGAACATATTAATTGTTCTTGGCTGCATGGATCTTGACTATGCATTAAGAACTGAACAACCCTAACCTCTCAATGCGGATAGCACTCCTGATGCAAAAGAAGGAGCATGAGAAGTAGGAGCGTTCAAATCGCATGAGTCTCATGATCATTAAGCGCGGCGTTCCGGAAGCCTTCAGGGGCATAGAATCCGAAGGGATTACTAAGGCTAAAGATTTCCTTGCCGAAATTGAGAAGCGTTTTGCGAAAAACGATAAGGTAGAAACAAGCACGCTTTTAGCTCGCTTGATTTCAATGAAGTATAAGGGCAAAGGAAATATCAGGGAGTACATTATGGAAATGTCTATTTAATTAATTTTGATTAATAGTCATGATATGCTTTTTCCGCTGCGTTGTATGTCATGATCCCAACAGTTAGGTCATATGACCTTCGAACATGCATATTTCTAACAAGAAAAGACACTTCTTTAATCAAAATTGTCCGTTACTTAGCGAATGAATATAATTTGCATTAAGCAAAACAGAATAAGCATAGTTCACGAGATGTGATGATATTATTTTTGAAATGAACCGTATGTTGCTAAATATACAGCCACTCTTCTAATAATCTAGGCGGAAGAAATAAGGTTTATCCGGATTCCCTTAAGAGGGGTGCATTCGGTCCGGATACGGCTCGGATATGCTGGTTATCATATTCATATTCGTTTACTTATCTCGGATACGGATACAGATATACCTCAGTAAGAAAAATTCATATCCATATCCGTTAAAATCGGATACCGTTACGGATATAGATGCGGATATGCATGCGGATACAAAACGGATATGAGAAAACTACATAGTATTAAGAAAAATATAGTTCATGTGATACAAAAGAGTTCGTTAATATATTCATTATGACTGAAAAGCTAAGAGTATACATCTTGATCATCAAAATTAACCACAAATCCATAATTTAAGAATCGAAACTATTGTAAGAGTATGACTAATATGTATTCAGATATTTCGAATACAGATATTTCCTTACAAAATCATATATGTAATTATATCCTATCGGTTATAGATTTATGTAACAATATCCGTATCCTAACGAATACGGTTACAGATATTTACTCGGATACGAATACGGGCCCATGCTTAAGACACCTGTAGACGTAGAAGATTATTTCCCACTTCGTGTTGCTACTTGCGAGAAGCGCGTTCAGATACGAGGTGTCTTTTTCAAATGGATCGGGTCAGACGACAAAAAAGAACCGGCTTCGTTCCTCTTTAACCCGTTATCCTTTTGTCTCACCCCTCATGCAAAAAGATCCCTTCTTTGTTTCGCTTCGATTCGAAACCCTAGAAGCAGCAAAATGGGCAAAAAATTGAAGGAGCCAGACGCCATTAAATCTCTCTTCAGCGACAGCAATCCCTTTCGCCGCAAACCCGAACCCGAACCCAAACCCAAACCCCAATCTCCGCCACCGCCACCGGCGGAGCTAGGGTTAGAATCTTCGCCTTTCGCCAACGCCAAGAAGAGAAAACGAGATAAGAAGCTAGAAGAAAACTCTGAACATCCTAAACCTATCTCGTCAACGCCCGAATCGATCTCAAAGAAACGAAAGAAGGTTGAGAACGGCGAGGACGTGAGCGAGGATTTGAAGAAGAGCACAAAGAAGAGGAAGAGAGATGAGATTGAAGCTCAGTATGAGAAGAGAAAGTATGGGGAGATTGCCGAGACTGAAGAGGTTGCCGTTGTTAATGTTGGAGAGAAGAGGAAAGCAAAGGATGTTGTTGCTTCGGAATCGAAGGGGGAAGACGAGGGTTTTGATGATGAGAGTAAGCTTTTGAGGACGGTTTTTGTTGGGAATTTGCCGGTGAAGATTAAGAAGAAGGTGTTGATGAAAGAGTTCGAGAAGTTTGGGGAGATTGAGTCGGTGAGGATTCGGTCGGTGCCGCTTGTGGATGTGAGTATTTAGATTGAGATTTGGCTTTTTATTTATTTTCTTGCTTGTATTTTGTGCTAAAGATTGCATCATTTGAAACTTTAACCAGAGTAAGACACCAAGAAAGGGGGCTATAATTAAGGGGAAGCTCAATGAAGCTGTTGGCAGGTTTGTGTTTGTTATCAGTTCTTTATTTTTGTAGAGTAGCTTCTATGATTTCACGAGGAAGATTAAACTTTTTAATGTTTGTATATCTGAATTCACAAATTTGAGATGTATAATGTACTAGAAAGCTTTCTGCAGAATAGATAGGGATTTTAGAATTGTATGGCAGAGAAGTTATTGATTTTATAGTTCTTTGCATTGCGCATACAAGTAACAAATATGCCCAAGCTCTCTTTTGTGGACCTTAACTTAGCCTAATTTATTTTGCCTCCCTTATATCCTACAAAAGCACAGCCTTTCTATAAAGAAATTTTGCTACAAAAATTAAAGCTTTAGCCAATACTTTATCCAAGGTTATTGTCATTATTATTATTGCCTTTTACCTTCACCTCTATTAAACATGTTATTATCTGAAGGTTCTTCACATTGCTCACGGGCTGGGTTACTAGGACATCGCATTTTGGGTGCCATGTTCATGTCTGAAATGTGTCAGACGCGGATTCTCCGCGGACGCGCCATGGACACATGCAGTTCAAAGCTAAACCCGATTTTCCCATTATTTACACCCTAAACGAGTTTCTTTGGTGATATCGGGTTAAAAACCAATTGGTTTTTGACTGACACCAATTACTTAAATATTTGAACCCATTGTATTATCCCATGCAAGCAAAATTGAACTTTTATTGTTAAACCTTATTCTTAGTTTGATTTAACTTGATTCTTAGTTGTTATAGATAATAGAAAGAAATGTACATATGTTACCGATATTTTAATTCAATATTTGATCTAATATAAATTATATATAGCTGTGTCCCTATATCCTGCATTTTACAAATTTGTCATGTCCCGTGTCCGCAATAGTTTCCGTGCTATGTAGCTCTCGGGCATCTAAATTAGAAATTCTTATTATGATTCACTTTCACTTGTATTCTTAAGAATGTTATGACATGACACCGTGATTTTGAACTGATACCAGTTTCATTGGGCTTCTCCTAGAGCATTGTTGTCGAAGTCCTTCAATCCCATATTAGGACTGAAGCACCTATACAATCTGGATCAAGCAGTGGATCAACTCCACATTGGATCTTGTGATCTGCTACTGTACTTTGCAGTGCAGATTTTGGATCCATAGTTAACGGATCTTAAACCACTTAAGATATGTCAGGAACATTGATGTGCATACAATCTGAGGAATCATACTTGTCGCTTTGAAATTAAGAATTAAAACTATATGCTGTTGTCTATCTAAAATAATAAATCTTTTTCTTTCTCAATGATGTAACCTTTAGCATTTACATACATAAGTGAGCAAACTGACATTGATTAGCGAACTTGTTGGAATTTTTAAGTGGTATAATTTCTCATTTCCATTAATCCAGGATTAGGTTTGGATTGTGGGATTCAAACAAAACTCACACTTCTAGACCATGTACATTGTATTTTTATTGAACTATAGTGATCTGGGGAGTTATATGATGCTTCTCACATAAATTGAACCATATATCTGCACTTGTGATTTGTGAATGCTTTGATGATAGAAATTGTGAAGGAAAAAGGGCTCGAAAAACTTAATCCATTATCTAAAGGTTTGCATCAAGGCCAGCTATTTTCCTTAAATATAGGCAAATTTGTTGTTTATTTCTATCTTTCATTTTTCTGTTTTTTTAGATTTGCCAAAATCCAACTCTTAAAATATTAATTCTTAATGGGAAGATCACCATATGACAAGTGAAGCTATTTTTGCAAATTAAAGTGGCAGGCTTTCTTAGAGAGGGGAAAAATGCTTTGATATGAAAGCCTTACATTGTTCTAAGAAAAATTAGTTGTTTATATTTAATGCTCTCTATTGGTGTTTATTGCCTTCAAAAATTAGCAGATCATGGATAATTCTGTTCCTCTCTTGTTTCTGTCTTTGATTTTCAGGGTGAATGCTTACATCGTTTTCAATAATGAGCAATCTGCACAAGCTGCTTTATCAAACAATATGACAGTGGTATGTCCTTGCTTTCCACAAGCACGCTAAGCCATGTGCATATAGCATTTCTGTTTCTTTGTATTTGAATTACATTGATTCTCCATAATGAATTCCATGAAAGGCTGTTGAATTAAGTCTATTTTCTTTCTTGCTTGTAGATCGGAGAAAATCACATACGGGTAGACATGGCATGCCCACCTCGTAAGAAATTGAAAGCAGAAACCCAACTCTACGAAAGAAAAAAGACTGTCTTTGTGGGCAACCTCCCCTTTGATGTAAAGGTGATTTTCTTTCTTCAAGCAATTTAGTCTTGAGATGTATATCAGAAACAGTAAGCACAAAATTATCTTATGAATGTAGTTTCTAATTGCATTTTTTTGTTTTTGTTTTTATATGTAATATTCATTTCAGGACGAAGAGCTTTACCAACTATTCTGTGGATCGAACCCATCTGAGTCTAGCGTTGAGGCTGTGCGAGTTGTTAGAGATCCCCAGACAAGCTTGGGGAAGGGTATCGCTTATGTATTATTCAAAACAAGGGTATGATAAGGTTACCTTTCTTTTGTATTATAAAATAATAAGCATGATCTATTTTTTGCTCTTGGTGACTTCTTTTGAGACATCTTTACATTTTTCAAACTCGCCACCATAAATTCTGAATCATCTGCGTTTCTGCATTAGTACATTTCCACTTGGTTTGTTATATCTGCCAAGTCCTAACAAAAGGATGATATGTTGTGGGGAAGGGTATCGCTTACATATTATTTAAAACAAGAGTATGATAAGGTTACCTTTCTTTTGTATTAGAAAAATAATAAGCATGATCTATTTTTTGCTTTTGGCTACTTCTTTTGTGACATCTTTACATTTATCAAACTCGCCACCATAAATTCTGAATCCATCTACGTTTCTGCATTAGTATATTTCCACTTGGTTTGTTATATCTGCCAAGTCCTTACAAAAGGATGATATGTTGTAGAACTAAGATCCATATTATGACCAAGACAACTGGGGTTCAAGTGATGGAGGAACATAGGTTTGAAATGGATGATCTCCTTTGGAGAACCATTTTGAATTTCATTAGGAAAACAAGCAACGGAAGGAGATTCTCTCAATGGGATTATTGATGGAAAGTTATAGAAACTGTGAACTTTATATTGATTGAGACAACATAATAAGCAGAGCCATGAAACCAAACTGGTTTATATGGTAATAGATTTCAGTTTCACCATGCTGCATGCTGCCCGTATACTCCCAATCTGCAGTCATTCTTTACCTTGACTGCAATATCTTTCTCCATACTGTCTCCATTATTCCTCTATTCTATTGCATACACAGTTTCCCAATTTATTTGTCTTCTATTATTCAGATTTTTAAGATATATTTGAGAAAATTGTGTTTCACATTGTATTAAAGTGATATGGGTAAAATTATATCCAGATTACTGTCCCTGGACATTATGTAAATTGGTTATGACACGTGTAAGTATTATAATAAACAAGAGAAGAAAGGATCATTGGAGAGGATAGAGAGGTAGACAAGCAAAACGGTGTGACTTTTGCGACTACAATAATATTGGAAGTATTGGAAATCAGTGAGCTTATTACTAGTTTCTGTTGTAACTAAATGCATGAACTAGCGAACCAGTTGATTTCTGATCCTTATTTTTCAGGTATTTGTAGCGTCTTAGATTCCACTTATTTGTTTCCCTCTATAAGTTATGTTACCTTTGGCATCTGCCAAGTTTGATGCTTTAAAACTATTTGTTGATTTCTTTTGAACTTTTCAGCTGTCGTATAGATATGGTGAAACTTACTTCCAAGTTTGATGCTTTAAAACTATTTTTGGATTTTAACTGAACTCCTTTTGATCCATCATTGTACGATATCCGCTAAAGAAAGAAAATTATTTTGTTATTTTATCTATTTCTTTTTGGCTTTTAGGATGCTGCGAACCAAGTTTGCAAGAGAGGAGACTTAATGATCCGTGATCGAACTCTCAGGGTCTGCCACGCCAAGGCAGATGCTACCCCAACAAAAAGAAAGGATGCTGGTCCGAAGAGGGACTTCCCAAGAAAGAAATTTGCAGTCTCCTGTAACGAAAGATCATCGGAAAAGAATGAAAACGCCAAGCCATCAGCGGCTTCTTTGTCATATCAAGGTCTCCGCGCAAGCAAATCCGGTGTGGTGAAGAAATCGGGATTGCACTCACGCCCAAGCAGTGGACATGGCAATCATGGATCTAAAAGGGAGAGGGGGTTTGATAAGCAAGATAGCAGCAAGGGTAAAAGGCCTGCAGTTGCAGCTAGAAAGGCGAAGATGCTGATGAAGAAACGCAAGCTTGAGAGTGGGACTCCTGAGAGCACTCATCGGAATAAGAAAGTTAGAAAACACTAGGATGGGTCATTGCTTGTAAGTTGTGCTGTTGATTTGTTTTATGCTGCGGATACACTTGTACTTGCGTCCCTCTCTGTTGAACTTGAAATGGAAGTTCTGATCGATTTTGAGTTATTTTCCGGGCAAGTTTATTTTGAGGGGCTGTGGAGAGATTTTTGCGAATCCAATTGCCTGATGAGCCGTAGTGGATTACGCCATTCAACGAAAATTCAGATTAATTTTTTTGAACCTGAATCAGGTAGCTTCTTTAAAATCCGCTGCGTCTCTAATCATCAGTATCCTGGGAGTTACGTTTCTTGATGCAAAATAAGATTGAGCCCAGCTTTTGGAATTTCATCATGATGTAGTCTAAATGTGACGCAATTTGGCCAGTTCTAGGTAGTTGCTTTTACATTCACCAGACCAATAGCACATCGAAGTCATTTTCTGAACATTTTGGGTAGAATTTGTTAACGTTCTTCATTGCTTGCGGACAATGACAAGAAAAAAAAAATATTTAAAGTTTGGGCATCGAGGTTAAGTTTTCATGGACTTTGGTTACGGAAAAAGTTTTGGTGGTATCTTTTCTTCTATTTTTTAAATGTACTAGTTTTTCTGTACGTGCATTGTGTTAGGTCTCATATTTATGAGCATATTATCTAATCTTGTTTTGATGATTTACAAGCAATCTCTAACATAGTTTATCTAGCATTTGAGTTTGCTCATTAGGTATTCTAGACAAACAACGATGTTGGAGGTTGGATGGACTTGCGCCTACACGATCATATTCATTGGAGGATAGAAGGAATATTGGAATGAAGCTTTGCATTTCAAGTCAAGTACAAGTTCAAGCTTCATCCGCAACCGAAGATCTCTTAGCTTGGGTATATTGTTTCTAGTTTAGATCTTATACTTTGTGTGTTTATGCTTAAAACTCAAATATTACACACATACACGTTTTTGGTTTATCGCTTTCAAGTTAAATCAAATAAATATGAAACAAATAGTTACATTTACAAACATACATGCTAGCTTCATATTTACCATCTTTATTTGGAAAATAATATGTTTATGGATTAAAGACTTGTTTATATTATTTTATATTTTTTTCTCAAGTCTATTAATCTATTAAAAAGTGTTTCAAAACTTGTTTGTATTGATTTCATTAAAATCAAGTTTTGACGATTTCGTATTCTTAAACAGTTTGTAAAATACATGAGTTTTCACAATTGGGAAATGCAATTTGAAAATTTTCTTCTCTAATATGTTTATCTTCATATATACAAACATTTCCCCAAGTTTTACAAAATTTAGAGTTGTTTTGTTATTTTTAATTAAATTTACAAAAACAGGTTTTCAACAGTTTTTTAGAATATGCAATATCTATTTTAAAACAGTAAATTCTCACAAATGGGAAGTGATATTTAAGAAATTCTTTCTCTAACATGTCTGGAAACTTTCTCAAATTTTCACGATTTTTGGAGTTGATTTGTTATTTTTAATTGATTTTATAAAGTCAGCTACGCAGATTTTCAGGTTTCAGATTTTGTAAATAGTGTCGGTGAACAGTGCGGTCGACCGAACACTATTTATCGGTCGACCGAACAGTAATATGTTGCAATAACTGCTAGTTTTTCCAGATTTTTATTTTTGGTGTTTTTCTTGGGTTTTTGGCTATTGTTTTGAGCAGCTATAAATACCCTTCAGCCCTCAACACTTACTATTAAAAAAGAAAAGTTTAAAATAAGTTTTTGCAAGTTTGTTTCAAGTTTTCAAAGACCAAAAGTGTGTTTTAGTTTTGTGCAAAGAGTTTCACAAGAAGAGGAGATCATCTCGGTTTTGAGCTTCAAGCTTCATATCTCCATTTCTCTTGTTTTAGAGAAGCTTTTCTAAACTCATCTTCTAGCTATCTATTGTTTTAATTCTCATATTTATGCTAGATTGATTTGAGTTTAATTTTAATTTCATTATACACATTGTTTACACACACACACTCCTTGAGCTTAAGAATTTTGACACATAGTAATTTGGATTGTGGGTTGTATCTTTGAGAGTGAGCCTAAACTTAGTTCTCATCTTATTAGAGCACAAAACAATTTGTATTTGAGCTTATTTAGCGAGAGATCACATTGTAATACACAAGAACACCGAGAGGAGTGGTTGGGAGAGACGTGATCGATTCCAAGAGGAGCGACGTTGGTTGTAAAGCCTAGGGAGATGTTGTAAATTCGAGCATTTGAGGAAGGCAACGCGGGCTAGGCCAACACTTAGAGGGTGTGTTGTGTGATTGCATTGTGAGAGTTGTAAAAGATTTCGATGAGCTAAAAAACCGATTGTGTAGTTGTTTTTGAGATTAGTAGGGATTCTCCTTAAAAGTAAGGAGCGGAGACGTAGGTCGAGAGTGACCGAAATCCGTGATCATATTGATTGTTTGTGTTTGATATTAGCTTACTTATTCTTGTCTCATTGTTTATATCACCTATTGTCACATTGTTTATATTTGCTTATCCTTGCATATAATTTGTTGCATAACATATTTGCTATGATATTTCTTTAATAAGTTTTAATTTGGCATCAATATCAGATTAGATTAGCAAATACCCTATTCACCTCCCTTTTGGGTAATTTCACATTGCACGTGTAAATATCATTATTACTTCTTCTTGATCTATTTCCTTACTTAACTGAGGTTGTGACATATTGCTTTATACCTAACTTTGAATATTTCACGTAACTGTTTGATTGATTTCCTAAAAACCAAGAAAAGGAAATCTTTGTACTTTTTTCATTAAAATATTATTTTATCCATTTTCATCCCTAAAACTCATCCCAAGAAAAGTAAATCTATACACTTTTATCAATAAAATATTAATTTATCCACCAACTCATCACATCTCATCTCCTTTCTTACTTTTAAAAATAAACCAAACACAAGAAATGTGTCACATCATCCAATTCATCTCATCTCATCTTTAAAAATCACCAACATCATCCAATAATATGATGACAACTCATCTCATCTCATTAACATTTTATTTTCACCCATTTTCTCAAAAAACTAAGAAAATTGATTTCCTTAAGTGTGAGTCACATCATCCAATAATATAATTACAACTTATCTCATCTCATCTATTTTCTTATTTTTAAGAATGAACCAAACACAAGAAAAGAACCTATTATAGGAAATAGGTTTCTTATAATACTTTTCTTTTTTTTTAACCAACCAAACAACCTCAAAATAAGTTTTCTTAAAAAATCACTTACATCATCCAATAATATGGTGACAACTCATCTCATCTCATCTCCTATTCTTTGATTTCCTTCTTGTTTTAGCCAACCAAACAACCATAATACAAGTTTTCATATTCTTTATTTTCCCAATTTTTTAGGCAAACAAACAGCCCCTAATTGGAGATATACTCATGTCTTTAGTTTTTTTAATGAGTATGAAATTCCTCTTTATTTAACCGCCCTTCTCCATCTCATTCGATTAATTTTGCAATTTAGAAATCTTTTAGCTTAACTACCTCTGTTATACCTTCTATCAGGACTTATTTATTTTCTTGGTACTTGGTGGCTAATAACATCCTAATGGGATGTAATTATTCTAGTTCAAATCTATCAAAATAATTGCAAGTGGTGAAGACCACAGATCTTTTAAAATTATACATATTAAACATCTAATAATGAAAACTCAAGGAAAACTTAAATAATACCTATTTGAATAATTACTCACATAATTACTTGTAAGTAAATGCCTATTGAACATCTCAAAGACTCGTAATTGGTAAAGATACTAAATATTTTTAAATGATGCCTAATGAGCATCTCATAATCAAAACATTGGGAAAAAAATTAAATGTGTCTACAAAGTATGATACTGGAAAGATAAAATGTTTAAAACGGAATGTATTAAATTAGAATTTAGTTGTAAGTTAAGAGTTCTTATTTGAGTAATTTTATACACATGATTCTTTCTAATTAATATACATATTGAACATTTCAAATGCCTAAATATCCAACATTGCACTTTCTAAACTACCCTTATCCAGTCATTAAAAAAATCCACTTAGTTGGATGCTTACAGTAAAATGTTATCTATTTCCTATTTGATGTAATAAATTATCACACACATGATATTTCTCATATTTAGTGCATATAACTGTGTGAACATAGTATACTATTCTAAAGACTAAATTTTAGAAAACTCCACTTAACTTTGGATGGTAATTAGATAACCCACATAACTTTAAAAATTTCAGGAAACCCCCTAAAGTTTAGAGGTTATTTAACTTTAGAGCTTTATTAGGAAACCTCACTAAAGGCGATGGATTTAGGGGGAATTTCTGATAAAATTATTTTAGAGGCAAATTTACAATTATTATGATTTGCAGACACATTCAAAAATACATCCAATTTAAGAGGTATATATTAAAAAATCCAAAATTAAAAATGGGGTAAAATTTAATAAACCTCAAATGAGTTTGGTGTTTGGAACTAAATCCCAAATATCTTTAAAACTCTCACTAAGCCCCTAGTAACTTTTAGCAGAAAAACCTCAAAATTAATGTCATTAGTTTATGTACATTCAAATGACCAAAATATAGTCCAATAACTCAATACATTTTACATTTTTCACTTAAACCCCAACACTTTTTGGTTAAAACCCCTAAATACGGTATGTTTATAATTTTCAAATAATTTTAAAGATTGTTAAAGTTATTGGAATCTTTCCAAGAGGTCTATTATTATTTTTAGATTTTAAAGGAGTTTGTTTATAATTTTAGATTTTTTGGGATTATTTGTACGTTTTATCTTTTAGGATTTTTTAATTTTCTTGGGGTTTCTTTTTAATATTCTAATTTAAAGAGTTTGTTTACTATTTTTTAGATTTTTAGGGAGTTCTTTGCAATATTAAATTTTTAGAGTGTAATTTATAGTATTTTTAATTTTTATGGAGTTTTTTGTGTAATTTTCATATTTTTCAACTGTTTGTTTGAAATTTTGAATTTTTAGGGAGTTGGTTGTAATTTTTAAAATTTAAAGGGTTGCTTATACTTTTCAGCTGTAAATTATTAAATTTTGGAGGTCATTTGTAATTTTAGAATGTTAACAGTTTTTTTTTCATTTTTTAGATTTT